TTGGCTGTTCTTTTAATGAAATGATTATCTCTGTCTGGAGTCAAACAAAATTCCAAAACCAAAATTTTATTCATCCAGTATCGTTCTTTAAATTAAGAGTGCTGACTTCTTTATCTCAAATTAACAAACCAAGGGGAGAAAGAACCTGAATAAGTTTTTGTAACTAGGAATTAGCATTATAAGGGGATAACTTTACTATGTATTTAGAACTTTTAATCAATATATTCTGTGTAACAGAATTAAGAAAATAAGCAATACACTGGCATAACTTTAAAGGGAATAATTCCATCGTGTATAATTATTGTAGTTTGAATGAGTATCAAGGAAACTCAATGATTCGGAGGTTGCGGGAGCTTCATCACTTGAGACTTTCAAGAAGAGATTGGACTGCCATTTGTCAGAAATGGTGTAGGGTCTCCTGCTTGAGTGGGGGGGGGGTGTTGGACTAGATAACCTACAAGGTCCATTCCAATTCTGTTAATCTGTTGACCAGTGAAGTGTTAAGAACTTGAAATCATTTCTGAAAAGTCCTTAATGGAACATATTAAGCTGATCAGTAGGAAGGGAAGAGTTGAAAGGAAGAGTTTGGGTGTCAGTATGACTCCCTCCATCAAGCAAAATAAAAGAGAGGTGGGATGTAGAATCCAAGAATACACCTCTTTTCCTTTGTTGTTTTTCAAACTGTAGGCTTGAGAATATCCTGATCAGAACTGCTTTATGGGCCACCCCAAGTTGGTGCTTAGGTCTGTGTCAGCACAAGTAGTTCTTTTCTTTTTCATATTTCCAACTACCTCCCCCCTTTTTCTAAAGGTTGCTAGGTAACTATCCTTATTGACCAACTCCAAGTTAATCCCCTGCCAATGTCCCAATGAGCAAGACAAAAATAATGCCTGTTCTAATAAACAAAGCAGTCCACTGCTACTTTATTTTCCTATTCTTCTGGATTTTGTGTATTACATAGCACATGTTTTCAGGCTACAGCATTTTTTGTAATATTAACATCCTTTACAGGCCAGCTTAATCTAGTTCAGATCTACTTCACTTTCATTGGGTAGCCTAAAAATCCAAAGTCCCCAAAATGAAAATAGCATGGCTAGTATTGTGAAATAGTTCACATCCTAGTTTGAATCTCATCTCAAATACAAACTATATGATTGGACTTATGCAACCTATTTACTTAGGTCACAATCCCCTTCCCCATTTAGGGTTTTTCTACTGTGTTGGTTTAAGACTATTGTGATAAAGCATTTTGGAGCATTAAAGTTTAAAGCAATATTATTTAATGAAGCATATAATTCCTATGTCTTAGGAAGACTGCCCCTTCTTTCTTGCATTCTTCTTCATTCTGCATTCTCACTCTATTCTCTATTCATCTCCTCTCTCTCTCCTTTGGACTTTGAAGAAAAGGATAGGAAGAATATTGACATTTTTGAACTTTGAAGTTGGAGAAGACTCATGAGAATACCATGGACAGCCAGAAAAACAAACAAATGAATCATCAAATAAACCAACCCAGAGTTCTCAGTAGAGGCACGAATCAACAAATTATCCTACGTTGACATATTACGGTATGTAAAGAAGTAATGAAAAAGGAAAAGGCTCTACTGCTGGGGGGAAAGTGGAAGGAAAGAGAAGAAAATTTTGCTAGTAGTGAAATTAATTTATTACAAAGAAATGGATACACTTTTAATAAAGGAGAATATTTGTAGCTCAGGGTTGAACTGAGGGGTCCTTGGTGCTCTTTGAGGTCACTTGATTTCTTGCAGATATTTCATTAACCAAGCTAGGTAACAACGTAAGTGCTAACATTGATGATATTACCCAATTAGGGTAATGAAACATCTCCAAGAAAACAAGCAAGCTCAGAGAGCACCAAGAATACACTTTTGGAAGACCTGAAGAACCAGGTAGGGGCAGATCATTATGAAGTCTATGTATATAGTTGCCAACAGTTGATACCAACTTGATGGCACATAACCAGTCTTTCCACCCTTGGCATATATGACTTCTAGTCTTTTATGGCTTCTATCCTTTCTTTTTTAAGCCTTACTGCCAACTATTCTTGTTGATTTACCTTCAGCGTCTAGTTAATCTCCACCACCCTATACCTTGCTGTACTGTTGGGCAGCCTGCTAAATCATAGGTTTCAGCTGACTGGACTGTATGCTCCAGTCAGCATACTGAATGCTAACTGCATTCAAGATCTGTTTCTTGATTTGGAACATATTACCACCCCTAATCCAACAACTGACACTGTCTTCCTAACTATTTCCAATGTCAGTACCTCACCTCTAGCTTTTTTTCCACCATATTCTTATGCAACTGTATCCAATTTTCTGCTCTCCAATTGTGCTAGACTATAACAAACCTGCAGCTGGGGATTTTAGAATTCATAGTACAATACACCTAAACAGCATCAGGTAGGAAGAACTATTTTAAACCACAACAAACACGCAGAAATATATTCTAGTCTACAATTTTACATTCATTTGAATTTTGACAGTAGAATACCTTGATTAGCATATACTGAGTGCCTGTTTCCTGTGCTTTGATCTGCTATTTGAAAAATGATTTACAATGGTGAAGAATTCTAAATTTTATGTGCATGTGCATTTATATGTATATGTACATGTATGCATATTTATGTGTGTGTGTATATAAAGTAAAACATATTATCTTTTTTAGAACAGCAATTATGAACAATTGCTTTAAAAATGAGTATTTTTGTTGTCATCTGCTTCACTGCTGCTTTCTCTGTTTGTGACCTATACCTTATGAATCTATTCTTTCCTTTTTACAGAAGAGATAAACTGAGATAAATAAAATTCTGTGTCATTCAGTACTCCTCAGGATTCTACATTTAAATAAAGGAAAATTTCCCTGCACCTTTATCATTTTATACAAGCTAAACAAATTCTGAATGATAATTATTTGCATTTCTAACCCCAACTTGGAGTTTTGGTAGCATAATTGATCCATTTAGGGCTTTAGCCCCTCTTTATTTTCAAATTTCCCTAGTGCCAATAGATTGAACTACACATTTGAAAAGGACAATCACAGCTGGGAATGGCAAAATACAAAACTTTTTCAGAGTGGACAACCCTGGTTACAGGCCAAACCACACACATACAAGGAAGAAATAGCAACATCATGATTTTTTTCTGTTGCTTCTTTCAAGGATAGCCCATAACCATAATAAAACAGAAACTCTCTGCTAGATTTTTGCCTCCCATGCAAATTTCTTCTAATTTTTGGAGCCCTCAAAAGAAGATGAATTCAAGCTTTTTCTGTTGCAGAAATGTATTTTAAATCCCACTCACACCAAACCTTGATATATGCTGAATAGCACAACACTACAAATGAGGTTATTAAAAAGCTGCCTGCATATTTATTTTTAATGCAGATCATTCTTTTTTTACAGCTGAATCTATTTTGGGCACAATAAAGATCTGAACGCTCTCACACTGTGCTCCTCATGTGCAAGGGAATTTCATTCAGCAGGGGAGTTATTTCCTCTAAAAAGTGCAAGGCAATATCCATTTCTTCTGCAAGATAGTTATGGACCAGAGGAAAGTGCTCCTGAATTTTTGCCATTCAAGACAATTAACTAATTAAATAGTTCGCCCATATGGGATATCTTTGACCTTAATATCAAGTAACTGTCCATCCCATTATTTCTCTTATCAGATACTAGACCTGTTTCTCAAGCTGCCACTTTTTGAAGCAAGCATACACCCAAACACACACACACACACACACACACACACACAGAAAGAGAGGGAGGGAGGGAGGGAGGGAGGAGGGAGGCTTACTGGACAAATAAAATAATCATGGCTAACCAAACATTTCAGATAGGTTCATACATGCACACAAGTTGCATTGTGCATAAACCATCTTCATCTTAACCATTCATCATTCCACAGGCAATTGATGTTCATTAAAGGTGAACACAAAAATCAGGGCATTCTCCTCCTCTCCCACATCTGTAAGTTGTATCAATTGGGGGGGTGGGTTTGAAGGAATGTTCTGACTGCTGTAACCATTCCTCCCTTCCTGAGGGGGGGGGGCTGCTTAGTGACACCTGAAATCTGAAGATTTTTCCTCCCTGCAATCATTTATGCTATTGAAACACACATGCACATACACACACCCTTCCTCTTTGAGCCATAACCTCTCTTCTTTCTTTCTTTCTTTCTTTCTTTCTTTCTTTCTTTCTTTCTTTCTTTCTTTCTTTCTTTCTTTCTTTCTTTCTTTCTTTCTTCCTTCCTTCCTTCCTTCCTTCCTTCCTTCCTTTCTTCTCTCACTCACTTACTTTCTCTTCCCTAAGCTTCTTTGTTTCCATCATTTAACAAACCAGGCCAGCAACAGCCTTACTCTTCATGAGAAATTAAGTGGGTGTGGAAGGAAAGAGGGAAAATAGCAAGGCAACCATTTACAAACTGAGAGCATCCCGGTAAATCTTAAGTGCAAATTAAGCCAGGTGGTTAAAATCTTAACAATTGAACTCAAACATCTAAGGAGACCTATCCTTTCCTCCCCCCACCCACCCCCACCCCCACATCCCCAGTTCTTTTCCAATCTATATTGCTAGGACAATAGGTTCTGTAGCTACTTAATCTCCTTGGAGCTCAGCAGCCTTGACAACAACAGGGTGGAGGAATATACAGACCCAAAGAAAACAGTGGACGCTCAACAACTCTGATGTACCTTAACATCTTTTCCTCCCCAGTTCACACTTAAATCAGAGATGTTGTAGAATTCTACCTTATTTCCCCATCACAAGCTGAGGAGGGGGGGGGAGAGAAACGAGCTTCTCCTACCCACCACACCCCCTTTTCCTTATCAAAAAGAATAATGCCCAATTCGTATGTTGAGATTTGAAGCAAAGACTAACACTATCTGCTAACAGCATCACCCTAGCAGCAAGAGCATCCTACAGAATCGGCAGGTTGGGAAAGAGAAAGGAAGGATTAAAAAAAAAACACCAATAAAAAAAATACCTGCTACTTAAGAATGGATGAACATTGACATGCCTTGAGATGGTGTATTTCCCATCGTGGTCTCGGCTTTGTTCCTCTGTCTGTCTTCGTTGGTCTGTCTGCCCGTTTGTCTTTCTTTCTCTTGCCGACTGACTCAGGCCCAGTCAACCAGCAGAGATCGGTGGCAGAAGTGCAAGAAGAGAGCGCGAGTGTTTGTGTGTGTGTGTGTGTGTGTGTGTGTGTGTGTGTGTGTGTGTGTGTGTCTGCGTGTACCCGTGCGCGCGAGAGAGCCTCGGAGATAGTACAAAGGAAAGGAATGGGCAAAACACATTAGCTCATGATAGATTAATGTGCTAGGGGAAGACACCCTCTCTCTTTTTTCTTTTCTCCCCCTCTTAAAGGCCCCTACCTTTTAATCAAAGATGGGTGTCTAGCATAAATGCCAGGAGGATACCATAATAACAGTAAATGATAATACCAGGTTGGTGCATAATTATTGCTGTATTCTGGTAGGTCTAGTGGAGGCAACACAACCATGTGGTCACACACAAAGACTATCTGCAATTTTTTTACTCCCTCTTTCATTTATCTTATGTTTCTATTTCTGCCTTGCAGAAAGAACTCTAAAACTGTAATAAGTATGAATATTTTCTTTCTTTAGTTTAATAAATTGAGATAGGGCTTGGAACCTAGGACTATCAGATTAGCATTCTACTATGTAGCACAGCTGTGAATCTATCTACCAAATCATTTACAATACTTATTTTGTTGACATATTCTTCAAGACATAGCTATTACTAAACCATTGCAATCTGCGCAAATTATGTTCCATGTTGATAGGAGAAAACCTTGGCATATATCTCCAAGTATAATCCAACTTTGTAGGGATGCTAAGAAAACAAAGAATTTTTTTTAAAAAAATGGGAAAGAAATCTATGCATAAAACATTCACGGAAAATCGTTACATGCTCAGGAGAGCATTTAAAACCCTTTCTGATACCGATGTTATTACAAGAGTTAATTTTATCAAAAACAAAAAATTAGAAGAGGTGAAGTTTTTAGGAAAAGGAGATTTTTTTAAAAAAACCCAAATTCAATTCTTTTCTTGTAATATTTTTTCCCAAACAACAGTGACAGGTGTCAATAATAAAGTTCCTAGCTATCCATTATTTGACAGTTCAGCACTTCTCATATCTAATTAAGAATATTTAGATTCTGATTGGAATCTGATGCTTCTGTTCCTTTTGCAAAGTACCTAGAACTTCAAGGTGCACATTTTATTGCCATTTAACAAAACCAAGTTTCTAGCTCTCAGGGTAGCTGAAGAAAAAATGTAAACGTAAAAGCAAGGTAAACAAAATATTTTTTAAAAATCAAATAATTACAGAGATTGAATTTTATCCAAAGGTCTCCAGGACTAGAAAATGGAACATCATTAGAGTTCAGTATTGTTGTAAATCTTTTTTTTTTTAATTTACAGTTTATGTGGATGTGCTAATTTTCTAAAATGCCATACTTGAGGTGTACTAGGATATAGCATAAATCAGTAGGGTAGGGTAGGGTAGGGTAGGGTAGGGTAGGGTAGGGTAGGGTAGAGTAGAGTAGAGTAGAGTAGAGTAGAGTAGAGTAGAGTAGAGTAGAGTAGAGTAGAGTAGAGTAAACAGAACAGGACAGGACAGGACAGGACAGGACAGGACAGGACAAAATAGGGCAAAGTTGGACAGGACCTTGAAGGTCTTTTGTCCAAGCCTCTGCAGGAGAATCTATACTAATTCAGATAAATGGCTGTCCAATCTCTGCTTAAAGACCTCCAGTGATGGAGCATTTAGAACTTCTGAAGGCAAGCTGTTCCACTGGAATGCAGTAAGGTTTGCACTACAGAAAGTAATATTTTGTTTGCATTATAGTGACTAGAGGAAATTATGAATAGATCAGAAAGTATTATAATATGTGATTAGTATCTGACTAATATCTGATTAGTCTAAGAACTTCGCTGCATTTAGTTTTTATGTAGCAATTGTATAGGGGGCCCATGTCACTGGACTCTAGGCAGCATACAATAACAACTAAAACAATATCACAACTATTAAAACACCGAAAAGAATAAAAAATAAGTGAAAAGATTGTGGAAAAATAGCAGCCATCTAAACAAGAATACAACCATCTCACACACTCCCTATGGGATTCCCGAGGTTGTTGAAAACCTTTTTTTTTGAAAGGTTGACAGGGTAGAGCTAACCTGACCTTTCCTTTTAATATATATGCAATTCAGGCTTATCCCATTTTGTTCTTACAAGGACACTTTCACACAAAACACAACGCCTTGACTGTCTCATAGCAATTTCAAAAGGTAAGGCTACCATTCTTAATCTTTCTTACTGTAAGGTCCATGAGACAAAATTGGTGGTATTGTATTTCCAAATAAAGACAACGAACTGTGTACTTAAGAGACCATTTAATCAGCAAGCAGTTAAGAAGAAAATTTAAATCAGGCAACAGCTACATTATCTGCTAAAGTTTGCCAAATATAATATATGAAATAAGACAGAGTTATTAAAACTCCACTTTGTTAAGTTCTTTGAAAAAATACTAGAAACCAATGTACTTGGCAAAGTACATTCTACCTCAAGATCTCTTTCAATGACTTCCCAATATAAGGATAAACATTCTTCTGTATATGTAATAATAGATGGAGTATCAGTTTGGGGGTACTGGCAAATATGTGCTCTTCCTGAAATGCTCTCACCTTGAAATCCATGAGATGCTCATTATTAGACACCTGTTGGAAGTCTAGCTCCTCACGCAGACTTTCCCATTGTAAATGTTATTACTGATTTTATTTTACTTTTTCTCCTTTATGAAATGCTTTCATGCTGTTTGAATGTATTGTACTTTATTATTCTTTTTATTCTGGGTTTTCTTTTTCTTTTTATTGTACTCTGCTTTGAAATACAATCTGCTTTAAAAATATATTAAATAAATAAATAAATTGCAAGTCATGTATTAATGGTATGGCTTGCATAATTTTGGATTTAATTCTGAAAACTTGCTTCAGAGCTCACGGGAGTACAATACTTGAAAACAGCCATATTTCTAGAATCATGTGATTATATTCAACAGCTATCAGGAAAGATACAGCTGCTTTAAAGAGTTGGCAAAATTTATTTATTTATTTTATTTTATTTCTATACCGCCCTTCTCCTGCGGGACTCTGGGCGGTGTACAGCCAGGATAAAACATAGCATATAAAATTTTAAAACATTTTAAAAACAATTAAATAATTTTGGCCCGAATTTAAAACAACCCAATTAAGAAAAAGAAGAATAAGAATAATTTTATTTCTATGCCTCCCTTCTCCCGAAGGACTCAATTAAAACTGAATTCGATTAAAAAACTGAGAGGATGGGATCAAGCCAGCCCAGCTAGATGGAACAAATGTGTCTTCAGGGCCCGACGAAAAGTCCGGAGGTCTGATATCGTGCGTATCTCAGGGGGCAGGTCATTCCAGAGGGCAGGTGCTGCCACAGAGAAGGCTCTCCCCCTGGGGGTCGCCAGCCGGCACTGTCTGGCCGACGGCACCCTGAGGAGGCCCTCTCTGTGCAAGCGAACCGGTTGGTGGGAGGCTATTGGCGGCAGAAGACGGTCTTGCAAATAACCCGGCCCTAAGCCATGGAGCGCTTTAAAGGTGATCACCAACACCTTGAAGCGCACCCGGAAGACCACAGGAAGCCAGTGCAGCTCGCACAAATTAATTGACATGACCCAGATGTTTGTAAAGCATTGTATGAAACTTGATTTTTTTTCCCATGTCCAATCAATTTATCTAAGATAAATCACTCTTTTAAGTATTCATCTATATGACACTCCTTTCTAACAAGGATATACAAAGAAAGATTTATTGTGGCTGCTCCATAATCACATTGGAGATTCATCAAAATGGAAGAGTTTGTGTCTTTTAAAAATGATTTAAGTAGGGTAATGGCTCTTAATGATTCTTTACAAAACAATAGCTTTTAAGAGGCTTTACAAAAATATAAGGTATTATAATACCTTAAAAGTCAGTTAGGGGATTTGCACATCAACAAATATGAAAAATGGCCTGATAAATGTAATTCAGTTATTTCTGAGCACAGAATTTAAGTTTCTGTTTTGGAGAACTCTGTTTTTTGCCTCTATAGCCAATGCATTTACTCAGCCTTATTTATGTCTCTTTCCACTAAAATCAAACATGCTTTTAACAGCTTTGCACAATTTCAGTATCAGTGAAGGACATGCATAAAACCTCTGCCATTTGAAGACAGCTACTGAGCCTATTTTGGAAGAATAGAACAATCCTATACATTAGACTCAGATTTGATTTTACTTAAAAAGTCCAAATATAAATTGGCTTTCATATTTGCTTTTATTGCCTGAGTAACTTTTTTGCAGGAGAGCACACCAAGAGAGAAAAGTTTATTGCATAATACTAATGCTTATTCAAAGTGTTTCACAAAAATGTTTTGCTGCATCTCTATAAAATTTCTATAAAATATATTATAAGCTTCATTCTCTGTATATAATACAGAGCAGGGGAATTAGACATGAGAAACATGGAATGACCACATAAGCAAGATATAAACAGAGAACTGCCTACACTCATTCAAAACTCCTATACCAGACCTTTCAAATAATATCTCCTCTTTCAAGAAACCATAACAAACACAGGACAATAACTACTCAACTCAGCACTATTCTTTCAAAGTAAAATATGGAAACAAGAGTATTAGCAATAGCAACCCTCTTCATACAACTTGAACATTTTCTACCATTTGCTGCTTTGTTATTCTAAACTAGTATGCAAGAGAGATTACTTACAAAAAGAAGAACCAATGCAAAATAGGCAGCTAACATTGAGCTCTAGCATAAAGCTGTGGTGATCTGATAACAGGCCTAGAAACTGGTGGCTGCTTAGTTTTCTGTTTCCTTGCATTTGGTGCCTCTAATTTTAGAAGCACATTGAATTCAGGTGCGTACGGCATTTGCTCTTCTTGGGGCTTCCTAGGTGATGAAGTATCCACCTCTGGGAAATGCAAACAATAAAACTAAATTAAAGTTCAGTAAGGCGGGGGTAGAGAGAAGGCTGATTGGTGTGGGAAGGTCTTCCCTGGAGAAGATTCTCCAACCCTAGAAAACAGGTGTGCCTAAGAATGAGGATGCTTATTGTTCTTGCTACCTCTGACTATTCCCTACTAACACGTTTGTAGAACAGACTGAAAAGAAAATACAATAAACTATAGTATAATTGAAAATATGACTCTTGGTGATATGTATCCTGAATGTCTGAACCAATCAAAATGAGTGATAGCAG